ATTGTATGATGATAATAAAATTCTATAAAAAGTATTATTATAGGTATCCTTATTCTGGTACACCAAATAGTGTAAAGCCCTTTGTGTGACCTCGGTCGGTAGAGTGCACTATATGAATAAAGATTTCCTACTTACTATGTGTGACTTATGACATAATTTCCATATTGCAATATGTTTCTTCTATAAAATATAGTAGCAATAGTGTGGAGCGACGACACTCTTAGCCTGGAGCCCAGAGCTGAGCTGCGGCAGCAAAAACACTTGATTGGAGCAGATTTATTAACCTGGATTTTGACCCATTTCATGTATATGGAAGCACCTGGGCCTTCAATTGAATCTAATTGCTTCACTTAGTTAACCCACTTAAGGGCCGTGTTGAGTTTACACCGCTAATTTGTCGGCATCAGCAGTGTTGTGATGCATGATGCCAGATTGCATTGTGGGTAATTACTATTAATTAGTAGCTGATAGTTTGAGCTTTGAAGCTGCAATGAGCAAAATAAAGCAATATGACATCTGAAAGAGCAGCTCTGGAGAAGGGACTGTATAAATTATGCAATTATAGTGAATTGATTCGCAAAGTAACTCTATGCTAGAGACCTAAACATATGTGTTTAGTTCGTGCTTTGTTGAAGAATGTGTGAAAAACATGTTAAAAGGCTGTATAAATGTGAAAAGTAAAAAAAAAAAAAATCAATGTACTTGTTTGAATTTGCCTTAAACTTAAATCTGCTAATTTTATACACACTGCATTTTCTAATAAGAAATCTTTATTCATATAGTGCATTTTAGGGACCAAGGTCACACAAAGTGCATTACAACATTTGGTGTACCAGCAATTTCCTTTCATTCCACACACAGTGATGACAGAGGTGAAAATAAAGAATGAGGGCTATAATATATTATACAATAATTACCAAATTTTATAAAAAGTCTTCTAATATATTTACATCTTATAAACATAATTATAATGTTCTTTTTATAGAATTAAATTAAGCATTTTTGCATGATTTTGGCTCTGCACAAATCATTTTAATCTGTCTCGTGATCATCCCCTAATGACTCAAAATGAGTCTTTGCTGAAAAGTGGATCCAAACTTCTTCTGTGACTGATGTATTTTGGAAATAAAATATAGATGTTTGATGTTGGTATTTTATCCACGTTGCTTTTCTTGAAATGACCCTCACAACCATAGCCACCAAATATAGTATTTTTTTGCTTTCATTACATTGCATTCTTTGGGCCTAATCTCTAAGAAAACTCAAAAACGAAACGAATCAAACATAACAAATGATAGAAATCCAGTGCTCGTGGGGGGCCTCACAGTGTTCATCACACGACCATTATAAGGAGGTCAGGTCAGTTCACAGCTCTGCAGGTAAAGTCCTTTGCATCCTTCCATTAAGATCAAAAACAAGTATAAAACATCCCAACAACATTTTTGGTTGGCTATTTTTCACAACAGAGATTTAGTCTTGCCTTCTTGAGTCCGCTCTCATGAGTCATTTTATGAATACGTATCAAGACCTCTAGTTCACATGTGACGGGCACACTCAATAATGCCTTCAGCAATATCACTTTCAGAGGGCCTCACAGAAACAACAGCAGCAGCAGAGTTCTGAATATTAATGTACAAGAAGAGAAAATGTGAAGACATGGTATACTAGTTGGTTGCAATGGAAGTCATAACAGGCTATAATGATGCATGCATAACATGGTGCACTGCAAGGATAAGATGTATATAGAAATGGAATATATGTAAAAGAGCCCTTTGAGAGAACCAGATGAAAGGCTGTTAACTAAACATTTACTTTAGAGAAAAAGCAGTGGCCTGCGCCTTTCCGTGTCTTTCCCCTGGTAGCCATTTTGTGAAAGGAGCCGTGATTGGCAGGCCTAAGTTACCGGGGCTACCAGACCCCCGGGCTTCCTCATCATTATGCCGATGGTGCCATCATTGCTGGACGTTGATTAAAATGTTGGTGATGTAAAAGGAAGCTGAAGGTGAGATCACAAAGGAGCCCTCTGTGAAGCGACTGTACACTGTTGCTGCTCATAAACACGATACTCAAACTGTTTTTGTGGCAAGACAAGGACAAATGCAAAACAAAGAAGTCTACATTTATGAGTGCTTGAACTGTGAAAATGAATGCAGTTCATGGGCTTTCAAGGGACAGTAATTGGTGAAATAGCATAGCTTAAGTAGGTCATAGAGACTTTATACATAACCTTCATCAAAGAAACTTAAGTTCAGGCTGTTGCAATTAAATTACCATTAAAATACAAATAACATGTATATTGTGAATGGGGAAAAAAACACTATGAACAACATTTATTTTTAGTGACAGCCCACTCAAATTAAAACAATTCTGGAAAAGTTACATTTTAGTCTAACTTTTAACATTTCTCCCCTGATAAATATGTTGGTATAAGTCAATAATTATGTGTGTTTGGTTAAAGTTCCCATTTGTGTTTGATGTGAAATATAGGCTTTATTGGAAACAATAATTACACCTTATTTTTGTATAAAAAATACTTTTAAAAACGATGTCAAGAAACCGGGAGTAATTTCAGAATCAGAAACAGTTCAGAGACTAATAGAAACACAGTGTGATAAGAAGCATGAGCAAAGAGTGGTCTTAAGAGCCGTTGCAACAGATGGAATATCTATTTCGATCTATCTGCTCTCTTAACTCTTCATAGTTGGTTCACCATGCAAGATTATAAATTCATTTGAGGCATATTCCCGGCATACTCATCCAGCCGCTGTGCATGAATGTGCTCGGGTTATTGTCAGCTAAAGTGAGTGCAGATTTTATGCACCTTTAGGGAGCTCTTCCTCAAACCAAAAATATGCTTCAGAGTTCTGTCTCTCATTCATTTGTCATGGAGGATGTCACGATGCTGCTGGCCCTCCAGGTGACTATTCATTGCCAACACGCTTTGTTCAAACTCGGCTTGTTTTATCATCCTGTTCCAGAGATTACACATTCCTCTGAATTTAAATAGAAAAAACATGCTTGATGTGCCTGTTGTTGACTGTATTAGCTACAGCTGTTTCCCTTGACCTCGCCCTGGACTGCCACCTCTCCCCCCAGGACTGCCACCTTAACCTTAACCCAAACCGTGGTGGGGGAGTTTGAGTACTTCCGCCAAAAACATTGGTGGCTGAAGTCACAAGGTTATTGGGAGCCTACTCTGTGGCAAGGCGCAGAGAGTGAATGAGATTAGTCCTGACTACTGTAATTTAAGTCTCTGGATGATGGTCAAATCTCGGGTTCAAGAGGACCAGTGTGGTTTTCGTCCCGGCTGCTGCTCAATATTGCTCTATTGGATACTCAAGGGATTATGGGAGTTTGCCCAACTTGTCCACATGTGCTTTTTGGATTTGGAGAATGCCTTTGTCCTCATTCCCCTGGTGTCCTTTGGGGGGTTCTCCGCAAGTACGGGGTCTGGGGTACTCAGCTGACGTACCGGAGTTGGAGCTGCGTTCTCATTGCTGGCAGTCATACCTATTCCTGGTGCATGTTGGTGTCCGCCAAAGCTGCTCTTTGTAAACGGTTCTGTTCGCTGTCTTTATGAACAGATTTTCTAGGTGCTTGCAGCAAAGAGCCAGAGGAGGTCCAGTTCGGGGACCACAGGATTTAATCTGTGCGGTCTGCATACAAGGTTGTCCTGTTGGCTCAACCGAACCAGGACCTGCAACATGCACTGGGACGGTGAAATTTGTTGCCGAATGTTAAGTGGCTGGGTTCATTTAAAAACTCAAGGGTGATTTTTCAGTGAGGTGCCATGCCCTCTCTAGGTGGGTGGAGAGGTGAGATTGACAGGTGGATGGGTGCAGCGTGTGTAGTGATGCAGTTGCTGTTTTAGAGGGGACTGAGAGAGCTCTCCATTTACCGCTCAATCTTTGTTCCCTCCCTCACCTATGGTTGTAAGCTTTGGGTAGAACAAAAAGACGAGATCGCAGGTACAAGGTGCTCCCTTAGAGATAGGGAGAGGAGCTCAGTCACAAGGGATGAGTTTGGAGTAGAGCTGATGCTTCTCCACGTTGAGAAGAACCAGTTGTGGTGGTTCGGGCATCTGTTCTGGAGGCCTCCTGGACTTAACCTTGGGGAAGTGTTTTGTTTATGTCCCACTCCGAGGAGACCCCGTGGAAGACCCAGGACACACCGGAGGGGGTAGGTCTCTAAGCTGGCCTGGGAATGCCTACCCGATGAGCTGGAAGTGGTGTGTGGATAGGGAAGTCTGGGCATCTCTGCTTAGACTGCTGCCCCCACACCCCGGAAATGGAGGAAGTGGAAGAAAATGGATGACTCAGAAAATTATCTCTATGAAGATGTTCCACAGAGCTATTCTTCCTGCTGCTGTCAGACTGTATCATGAGAACTGCCGGGACTGTACTTGTCCTCTCATCTGTAAATACTTCTACAATCATGTGCAATGCTGCAATTTCAAAATGTCCACTGAATGTCACTTTATCTAGTACGTATTGATATATACTTGCTTCTAATATGAGGCATTTAAAGCTATCTATGTATATTTTGTGAGCCCCTTGTTTACTCTTACTATTACTTACCTGTATGTGTGCTGCATATTTCCCCACGTTGGGGACATACAAATGTTTTCTTATCTTTTACATTCCCTTTTTGTATATAGAAAAACAAAGAACCAAAGACATACTTTCATCTGCTCAAACATTGTTATACATTCTCTAAAGTATACAACTATGCATATTTCCTCTTTACATAATAAAAAATAATAGTGTTCGATGCCTCCATCTTTTCTCTCAAAAGTAACTTTAACATTAACTGATGGAGGACAACATGTTATTAACAATGCTAGTGCCTGCATCAGTTAGCTCTTATTATAGTATTTCAGCTTAACTCCTGTTGAACACTGGTTATTTGTTGTTGTGCCCTTGAGCCAAACTGTTGGCCAAAATAAAGCCTCATGTTTGGTGTGTGTGTTTGACGTGATTGTGCCCTCTTCTTTGTGACAGGTGCAAGTGCAACCTTCACGCCAACAGCTGTGTGTTCGACAAAGAGAAGCTGAGCTGTGAGTGCGAACACAACACCACTGGCCCAGACTGCGGCCGCTGCAAGAGGAACTACCAGGGCCGGACCTGGAGCGCAGGATCCTACCTGCCCATCCCCAAGGGAACCGCCAACGTCTGTGAGTCCCACACTGAGCCCACTGCCCCCATGTTTGGGCTCTACGTTTTATTTACAATAGCTGCTAGAATAATATTTCAAAATTTTTTTTGAAGGGGACATATCATGAAAAATCTACTTTTTTGCCTTAAATGCCTTATGTTGTGTAATTGGAGCCTCTAGGAGTGCAAAAAAGTTGAAATCAGTGTCTTCATGGGTTGCACAGAACACTTGATGTTCTGTTTTGGTAAGATTTTTCAACCCGTTCTGATTTTACCATTCTCTATTACTTATTTTGAATTATTACGTCACAGTATTTGCAGTGGGACTGCTATATATGCACTGTAAAAAATGCAACTCAAAATTGTTCACCTTACTCAGATTTTTGCATTCACTGACAATAAAATTGCCAGTTGTAACTGGAACTGTCTGTTGTGAGCCACTTGAACTCACTTTCAGAAGTTTCTGATGAAAAGTTCATCTTATTTGATAAATTAAGTTGATTTTACTTTGAAGTTGTAGTTGACATGTTAACAACAACTTCAAAGTAAAATCAACTTAATCAACTTCAAAAATCTGAGTTAGGTGAACAATTTTGAGTTGTCGTTTTTACAGTTCACCGAGCTAGAGTGAGGTCAACTTATCTGCGTTTGCTCATTTAAATATTTGTCATGGCAACCAGCTGCATTCGACATTTTGGAAAAACTAATTTGACCAAATAAATCATTGTATTTATTTTTACCAACCGTAATCGACAGGGCCAAGCCAAAGTAGCCCTGTGTATTCCCTGGGCCAGTCTTTCAGAAACATTAGTTTTCCACTAATCAGGTTCACAGTGTGTGCGGCACGGTGGCTGAGTGGATAGCACTCTCGCTTCTTGACACGAAGGTCCTGGGTTCGAATCCCAGTAGGGATTTGCATGTTCTCCGTGTCTGCATAGGTTTCCTCCGGGTGCTCCGGTTTCCCCTGCCCAAGTGACCTTGGTCTGTAAAATGTGCTATATAAATAAACATCATGACGGTTTAATGTGGGGCTAATTTAAACTCAAAATAGTAAGTTATTGTAGGGGACAGTAATCTGAACTTAAAAAGTAAGTTTTTACAGACTTGAAATTTCCAGTAACTTGAATAAAAAACTTAGTTGGCAGAACTTGGAAAACTGACACAACTTAATAATTGTAGTTCTTCAAAACGTGAAGAATTAAGTTAATGCCTTCAACTCAAAAATCCTTCGCAGCTGGTTGCTTTGAAATTTTGAGTTGAACTAACTTGTTCTTTTTTACAGTGTGGGCATGGGCGTCTCACTAAACACTTGGGCCCAGCCCCCCTTAACTGTGCATCACTTCAAATTTGTAATCCAAGCTCAAGGATACCAGCGAATAAGTCCAAATATATAGCCTGTTTATTTTGCATTGATTCAAAAGATACTTGTTAAATTGTGTTTGGAGAAGAGTCTGAAAACAATATAATGTATTTGAAATACGTTTGTAATTTTGTCCTAGTCATTAACAGTGTCAATCAAAATCAAGTTACGCAGCTTACATCATGCAGCGACAAACCATGTCCTGCTGTGGTTCACTAAAGCTGAAGGTGTTTGGAGGCTACAAACAAATGATACCTGCTATAAAATGAAACGTGGTTAATATCCACAATAGAAAAACCCGGAGGGGGAGAAAAATCACATGTGCCAGAGTTCAGGCTGATGGTGCGGACTGTGGCGTAGGGAGAAGGCAGAGGAGAACACAGAGGTAAAGAGGCCCGGCTTTTCGGAGTCAGCGGTAAAGAGGTCCGCACAATAAAAGCGGGTGGCCGTTTTATGCGGCTCCTTACAGTAACGTTGGAAAGAGGAGCCGTGGGGATGAGCCGCCACAATGCGCTTTTTAAAAATAAGTAACAGCAGAAAGCGGCCACCCGCTTTTAGTGTGCGGACCTCTTTACCGCTGACTCCGAGAAGCCGGTCTCTTTACCGCGGTCGGAGAACAGTGAGGGCGAGCCATGGATCTAAAATAAAAACGGGGCGAGCCCTCCACCACTGCAAAGGAGGGGGAGGGAGCCCACAAAGCCCATCACTTGCGTCACTACGCGAGTAAAAATACTTAAAGTGGTTCTCACCCCCGCTCCTCGGAGCTTACGTTACTCACATTTCCTGTTCAAATCTTCCTCTAAATGGGCGTAGCCTGGAGGACTAAAGGGGGCGTGTACGAGACTGGGCCGTTTACATTGCTCTGGGCGGGGGGCTGCTGACGTCAGGTCCAACTTGCAGACGTCAGGTCCAACTTCTGTGCCAGTGTTGGCGCCAGATTCAAAATTCAAATGTAGTAATACAGGTCGCCAGCAGATGGCGCCTCACAGACGGTTTTAGGCAGAAAGTCTAACTTTCAACTAATTTGCACCAAAGTGACAAGATTATGACCAGGATATGTAGACAACACTATTGGACACTCATTTATACCGTTTATCAGCAAAAAAAAGTGGATTTGAGGGTGAGTTGTCCTTTAAGGCTCTTATTTTGGGCTGGAAAGCGCAGCTAGGCAGTTGCGCGAGTCTCTATAAAGTGTTACTCAGAATGAAAGTTATACGTGCTCATTTCATCTGACGGGAGGGATTGTTGAAGGGGGGGGGGGGCTCGCGGGGGAGCAGTGCATTTATAATGTGGGTCGCTGGCTAAAAACTTTGGGAACCCCTGCTCAGGACACAAAGCGTCTGTATGCACAATACCTGTAACAACTACAACAAAAATAATAAATTACATAATGTTTAAAGAAAAAAACGTTTAAAATATGTATTACAATAAAATGGCCATAAAAAAAAAGAATCACTTACTGTACAATTCCTCTTAGACGTATTAGTCTGTACTGTGCTTTAGTTTCACATGTTTTAACAAGTTTCCAAATTCAAATATCTTGCATAGATCTGCATAGTTTATCCTGTTACATCTGTGTTTTCTTACATAAGAGGTATATAATGAGAGGTTAATGAATAAAGTATAAAATAGCAGTTGCCATTTTCTACACGTAACACTAACGAGAAGTTTCTGTGTCGCAAGATAATTGGATCTGTGCTAACAAACTACAGAAATGGCTGATCGGGGTGGAGTTGAACATGTGTCACCTGAAAGAGGGCGTGGTCAGAAGCGCCTCATTTGCATTTAAAGAGACCGCACCAAAACAGGTTGCTCTCAGACGTACCTCAAAACAGGTGTAGAAGAAAGGCCCGTGGAGCTACAAATAATGAGACTCAGACCCAAGCATTGCAGTTACGCTTTACATAGGCCACAAATTAATGATTTAGATGTAAAAAGGAATTATTCTAAAAGGCGATATGTCCACTTTAAGTCGAAATGTTTCCCCATATCATTAATTGATATGTCTGAAAGTTCTTTCTACTGGCCAACACCATGCATACAAGTTTGTTTATAAATAATATGTATATAAAGACACCTATAAGAAAATTAGACCATAGACTTTTGACACCATAGTCACCAGGAAATATTTTTCAGATGACCTATAAGAAAAAAAATAGTTTATTTATTTATTGTGATGTACAAATTAACATAAGTCTGTTACGAAGCTACGAAGCTAGGATATTGTTAAAAGGGCCATCAGAGCATCATCAAAAAAAATTGCTAACATTGAAAATGTTGTACAATGTTGCATATTATATAGGGTTGGGCGATATGGGCCTCAGCATGTATCACGATTTTTGTTGGTATGTATCACGATATGACGATATGATAATTTTAAAAAAGCCTCATATAAAAGCTATAAAAACTTAGCACTGATCATTTTAAACACACTTGCCTCAAAGTGCATTTACTGATTTTTTGGCAGCAAAATGTGTAATACAGCTATTGTATATAAAACGTATTAACAAAACTGAATTGTAGAGAATTCTGTTTTGTACATACTGAAAATTGCAGGCAACATGTAATAAAGGTGAACATTTGTAATTTGTAAAATATATAAAAGTTTGTCCTTTGTAATATAAAAAGTGTAGCACTATCAAATAATTATTTGATCACTTTGGCTTATGTTTCCTAATCCCAATATAGTCAAAATGATCAAATACTGTATATATTTTTTGTATCTTTTTGCGTTTCTATAATTATGTAATTATAACTTATTTGTAATTTTATTGCAATGTAGACAAACACATGCATTGAAGTAAAATGAATGACAGTAAACAGTAAATAAAGCTTACCAATGGCACTATGAGAGAGAGAGAGAGAGAGAGAGAGCGAGTGTCCGAAGCAAGCCACTCGAGTCCAGTTGTTTAGGGCAGCTGCTTTCACAACATTAGATCCACTGTCGATAGTTACACACAATTGCTTCTTTTTATCTAGTTCCCAAACTACTCCCATATGTTTGAGGTAGCTCCGCGTTTTGGCACAATGTCTTCTACAATCTGCATGTCTTCACCATGGTCTTCACCGCCGCCCTCAGCCATGTTTGCTCTCTGCTCTGTTGTTGTTGTCCCTGCACGCCGCTCTGCTACACGTGCCGCGCAGATGCGTCATCAAAGTGCGCCGCACACAAACGTGTCTTCCGCTCGCTGTTTTCAGTGTTAAATGATCGTTTTCACCGGTATAAGGCATTTTCTTATCATTTAATTTACTTATACCGGTATACCGGTACAAAAAAAATATCGCCCAACCCTAATATTATATTTCTTAATTTTTCTCGTGAAATTAACTAACAAGACAAATAATCCTTTTAATTCCCACTGTTCTTAGTCTTAAGCTCAATAAGACTGGAGTTGTTCTTCCTCAAAGCAGATTAAGCAGTACAAATATATTCAAACCTGTTGCAGAACTCTAAACACAGAGATAGTCAGAGTTACATATTATACAACAAGCTCATGTGCTGTTCATAAAGGAAATAATTAAATGTAAATTACAGAATTTTCTTTACTGAAAAAAATTCCTTTTCATTGTGATTTTCATTGCAATTAGAAACAGCCAATTGTATCTTTGTAGAAACTGTCAAATCCCTGCTTGACAAAAACACCTGTGTTGGTGCAGTCT